GCATACACATACGCGCAAGTATATATACACATACACACATATATATATATATATAAAACACCGATCAGGCCGAAGCCACGAGTAGGCCTTGTGTCAGCGTAGTGAGCGCAGACGGTATTCCAAACGCAGCGCGTTCGTTATTCACGCGGAATTGGAGAAAGAGAGAGAGAAAGAGAGAGAGAGGGAGAGAAAGGAAGGCAAAGAAGAGGCGTGCTCTTACGTACGCGTGGGCCTATACTAAACATCGATATACTATATCCTTATACACATACTCCTCCGTTCGCGAGTTGAAGCGCGATCATACGCGGCGTTATCGTGTACAGCACGCGCTCGGCTGGGATTCGGCACCGAGCGGCTGGACGAAACGTGCGAGGCACGAGACGAGAGGCGCGGCTGTGTGTACATATATACAGATACACACAACCTTTGGTGCGATAAAGACAACCGATAGGGAAACACGAACGAACGCCACTCTCGTTTTCCGTCACTTCTCTTTCTTTCCTTTCCACGATCATTCGTAGTTGCTACGTTCTCCCTCCCCTCGTTCTCGGTTTCTTTCGTCGTCTCTGTTGCTCGCTTTCCTGCCTGCCTGTCTCTCTATTCCCTTGTGGTGTGTTGTCAGTGGTACACAGTCATAGCACGGCCGGCAGAAGCCAGTAATATCGCACCGGCGAATGGAGAACGGATTCGCTAATCGTCGTAAACGAAAGTGCGGGTGTTTCGTTGTTAACCAACATCCCCGGCTAATTTATCGCGCGGTTCGTGTTCAAAGAGAATAAAACGGTGCGCGGATTGAGCAACTTAAGAGTGTGAAAAGAAAGTTGTGTATTCCTCTTTTGGTGTTTTTTTTTTCGTGGTGGTAAAATAAAGAGAAATGGAGCGGTTCAGAGTCACACCGGCCAATAATACGTCGCAATACGCACCGCAGCAACAACAATCGCTGGACTATGGTAAGTGGTTGTTTTTATTTACTTCGCGTTATACACATGCAACTAAAAGGTTAAGTGTCAAACGTGGCGAGAGTGTACACGTCACTTACTAATGCATTCGCGTATCTTTCATATCGCGTTACGTCGAAATTATACATGTATGAATGATTGCGAGTTACCTGTTTCAAACGTATAATTTAACACCCCAAAACTGTTGATCAAGATTTCTTCTTCTCGGGCACTTTCCGTAAATCTTAAATTACAGGTCGTTACAATTAGAATAAGTTTGTACAAAAGTGCGAGTATTTTCTTCGTTAATAAAGAATTAAGAATATACCAGTGAAAACGTTGAGCAGAACTCCGCGATATTAAAGGTTTTCGCGTCAAGGTCGATCGATTCTCGCGAGGGCCCACCACCAAGAAGCGTCATGATGAATTTCATCACTCTCGTCTTTTCCATTTAAGTCTCCATTGAATTCTTTAACCGTTTTCTCAAATTTCTCGAGTCATTATTCAAGTCATCTCTTATTAAATTATGAGTAATTCTTTTTCCTAATTAAAAAATATTTAATAATTAAAAAAATAGTCTCTCAAAACATCGAAATCATCGAAAAATGATCGAAATTGGCGTCAACGCGCCATAATTCGCATCGATCAAGAAAATCGTTAAGCAAATTTAAAACTACTCGATATTTATCGAGGCGGCGACGGCTATAACCGCAAGCTACGCTTTGATTCGTGATGTCGGCGCAACGCAACACCACCGTGTCGATTCAAAGAAACCAGTCGTTCGTTTCAACGTCGGGTATCGTGTGAAACGCATATCACGATATATATTTACCACACTGTAGCGAATCCAGACAAGACATATGATTACAAACGGTAGCGGTCGCGTTACCGATTTCCAGACGTTTTCTCGCTGACTCGGCGACCTTTGCGGCTTCGTCTCGTTTACTCATCACGCGTTCTACCTGCCGTTGTCCGATTTGTTTTGCAAAATCTTTCGCCGCTCGTCGCGTGTCATCTGTCTATCGATCGGTTAGCCGCTTAATAACTCGATACGCGTTCCGTGAGTCAGCATTTCATTCGAGACCGATTGTTATTCTAACTCGAGATCCCAGCGGGCGGACCTTGGTGTTCTACGTTTACACACACGTTCGTCTATTTTCAGACGTTTTCCAGAGGCGTGGTGATGTGATCTCGAACAGTCGATCGTGGCTGATTTGCATAGGGAATTACGTTTTACTAAAATGAATGAGCCAATCATTTAGTCATCAATTTTTTCTGAAAAATTTCCCTTCAAAATTTCTCTCATATCCAAAGACTGGAATATTGACAAATTTTCATGGCGATATACAATTACTAACATATGCTATTTGTATAGCTATTCGATAAATCTTTATCCAGCCACTTGTCGATCAATTTTTTCTGAAAAATTTCTCTTTAATACGTCAGACAATTCAAAGATTGGAATATTGACAAATTTTTATAGCGATATACAATTATTAATGTACGGTTATTAAGAAATTGTGAACCAGTCATTTATCGATCAATTTTTTCTGAAAAATTTCTCTTCAACGTGTCATGCAATCCAAAGATTGAAATATGGACGAATTTTCATGATTATATATAATTAGTAATGTATGTTATTTGCATGCGCAATTTCACGAGACATATAGAAAAAGAATTGGGCGTTGAAGTCAGGGGAGTTAAAATGGGGAGCGTTTCGTGATATGTCTGTCCTTGATTCGATTCAGTCATGCGTTTTTTGTCCTCCAGGGATCGTAAAGGGTTGTTTTCTCGTGTGTGGTTAAAAATCCTTGGAGAACGATGTTGATGTCCTTGTGATATATACCGAAAAATCTCTGTATAATTAAATTTCTAAAAATACTAGCAATAACGTATTATCGATCCAAGGCGTTATTTTGTGCTTGTCTATTAAGGGAAGAAAAGTGCTATCTTTTATGATTTTTTTCAAATAATAAAAATGTCGAGACACAAATGAATTCATAATCAAGCCTCTTTGTTCAAAACTCTATTGACTCAAAACCCAACTTTATATCCATTTCTTTTAATCCTTTTATCATTTATTACAAGTAAAAAGTTAACGGATCCAAAAGGAACAATGCACCGACGAGGATCGGTGAGCACGGTACAACGACGTAGGGCGTAGAAAAAACGCGAGAAACGTTCGTTTGCGCTCGCTATTGTCTTGAACGATATTCGATGTGGCGGGTCCAAAAATAAAATATCGATGTAACGCTGCAATTGCCAAGGTCGGCTACCTTGGTTTCACCCGAATCGGCGCGATTTTATTATCTCAGTGTTTCTCAATCTCGCCGTTTCACGGGAAGGGAAGCCCGTAACTAGAAACCCGTTACATAAAACGATCGCTTTGATTTCGTCTAGTGGAACTTGTTTAATCGTTCGCCTCGCGGAGAGTTCACGTTTTCCAAACAAATTACCGTTGCGCAATCCTCGTGGACCGGTACCAATGATAACAAGGAGTTGTGTAATTGTTAATCCCATTCCTTTAATACTGGATTCCCGGTATAATTAAATGTATCTCCTAATAAGTAACAGTTAACAGTTTCTCCGGTCGCTTTCGCTAACTGTGCTCTTAGTAAATACAATCTTCCAATTATTACCTCTTCTCTTTACACCCTTATTCCAGTCTTCTTTAATTCAAAATAATATGATTGTTAAATTATTTATTTACTTATTATAAATAATGTAATTCTTAAATTATTTATTTATTCATAATTTACATCTTTATCGAAAATTAAATAATTCCACCATCTTTATTCCAATCAAATTATTAATACGTATAATAAAATTCAAAATTTACCAAAAAAAAAAAAACCAACCTAATTATTTATTCAAATTTTCACATCTCTAAATCACACACTTTCACAAGAGACCGCTCCGTAAAGCCATCATCTTCATCTTCATCCCCGGAAACAATAAGAATTTGCCTGAACGCACTACCTACTCTTTTTCCACCCCCTTTTCTCTAACCAGCGTCGTTGAACAGCGTGGCTCGCATGAGAACCACTCCACTCCTCTAGCCGCTCGAAGGCTGAAGTTCGCCGACGAGAAACCCAACGTTTTAGGGCGGGGTGAAAGGGGCAGCTGCATCCCTGCTACAAAAGCTAGGGTAGCTAGGGGTCGATAATCATGCAACCCCTACTCTGCACGTTGTATTTCGCCGCACAGTGCCGCGCGATCCATGCACGTGGTGGACTTGTGCATCCGCCCATCTCTGTCTCGCCCGATCAGAACCGTTCCTCCCCTCTCTCTCTTTCTTTCCATCGCGTTCCCTCTATCTCTCCCCCCTCCCCGCTTCGATTCGAACGTGACGCGTTAACGTCGGAGAAAGAGCATTAACGCGAGCTGTCTAACTGTGTGACGACCTATCAAGCAAACGAGCTTGTTATAATTTCGGTCGCGTGGTTGTTGCTTATTAACGGTTTAATCAGGCCGCGAGGTGCGCCTCGTGACGCGTCTCGTTTCGCGGATCCGCCGGCTTTAATTAGCCCGGAGAAATGTCATAACGCGGCCAATTATGGTATACGAGCATATCTTCGCGCGAAGAATTATCTTTATGGTGCGATTTCGTTTAACTTTTTAGGAGGGGAGAGAATTTTTTTTTAACCGCTCTCGCGTGTCTCGGCTTGGAACTGTTTGTTGTTAACGTTAGGGGAAATGGATGGGCGTGAACGTTCGAGCACTTGGCGTAATTAAGCTGTTTTTTTTCTTTTTTTTTTTTTATGCTTTGTATTCGAGTAAAACAGTTGGAAAAAGTTTATATTGATGTGCTTTTTAGGGTCGTTATGTTTATGAAGGTGTACATGTACATGTGTGCAGGATCGAGTGATTAATCGATGGTTAAGAGTGGAAAGAAAGGAGAAATCTTGGAACATCGATAAATGTTGCCATCGGATTGAATCCTGATGTAACACGTCCCGCGAACGTACACGTGATGGATTCGTTCTTTTATCAAATGGATGGTATCTCTGTTTTTTTTTTTTTTTTTTTTTTTTTTT